CAGCGAGGCAGACAGCTCGGTGAAGTGGCAACTGTGCTATGATGTCTCTGCCAAGACATGGTGGATGGTGAGAATGAGTTTGATTCTTAACCTGGACTTAAAAATCTGGCAGAGGGATCTTCACTGAAACCTCACGAGCGAACTAACCTTTACCTCACAGGCTTTCTTAAAGTACTCTACTTGGATATATTTTGATGATTTTGCTGTATGTTTAGTAGTATTTTTTTCCCTTATGTAGTAATTTTCTTATTTTAAATGTTGGTGTCTCAAAAAATGTTTTGGTCACTGTGAGAATTAATGACTGTGCAGCTTTTAGTGGCTCCGTACCTAAGTTTTGGTATTTAAAATGTTTAAGTTAGCATTCAGCTTGTATATACAAACATTTGACCACTCAATTAGGCTGCATACCAGGAAGTCGTGCACCATCTGTTTAGATGTTGCACATTTACTATGTCTGTTGAAACAATCACGCCGTGCAGAGTGAACCTAGATGTGTGTTTGAAAGGAAGCTCAGACCGGCTGATCTTACAATCAAAATCTGACCAAAAGCTCCAGTTCTCTTTTTCACTTTCCTCTGGTTTCTCTTCCCCGTACTCACATCCCTTGAGTCTATCTATACTTTATGAAATGAGTCACTTAGCTACAGAATAACAGAAAAGTTTGCCCTCAAGCTTAATGTGATACTTACACAGGCTGTAATCTGGCCACCCCACATTTTATTTGCATCTCTGGGCTCACGACCTTTCATTACACCTTCATTCAGTCACAATACCTTTAACATGCGTAAACTTCAGCCCCATACTTACAGAACTAACATTTATTATAACCTTTATTTTATTTACACAGCTGTTAAAAACTTTCTGATGGAAAAAATACCTCAAAGTGCAAATTTAAGCTCTCTACAGAAATTGGAGCTCTATCTCTGAGGCTGATTCCAGTGACCCTGTGAATACGTCTATTTTGAGCCCCACTGTCCACAGTCTTAGTATTACCATCAGTTAAGGCTAATCCATAGGTGAGTTTGAAAACTTTGACCTTAAGCCTTCTAAAATTTCTCAGCTCTATTTTTACCACTTTGGTTCAACACCAAACACTGACAAATATTTTGAACTGCGGTAAGTTTGAAAAGTGGTCGCCACTGAATTTTGGTCTCACACATGAACAAAAGCTCATGAGCCCCAAGATGCACACCTTCAACCGTGACAATAACATGTCCCTAACCACAAGAAATCAATCCACCATTTTCAGAAAGATAACAAAAGGCCTTAGACCTACAACTTTACACCCTCCACACCCACACTGCCCTCAAATCCAGCTAACAACGAGCTGGTACAATTAAATCACCAGCAATTGAGCAGAAATGCAATTCTGAGATTGCAGAAACAAGACACTTTCCTCCATCTGCCTGTGCCTTGCAATCCTGTGCATGACTACCACAAACAGGATCAGGCCTCGTGTCCACCAGCAAAATTTTAGACATTATGGTAAAACTTCTACAGTCCGAATGGATCCCTTTTATTACCAATGTACACAAGGCCCAAAAATCTGCCAAGAGCCTCCTTCCTTTCATCCTTTATCAACTTTTGAATCAGTTTGTCAAAAATACCTTGACCAACTGACCTACCAAATAAGTTAGTCAACATGGATGATTCAGGTTAAGAAGACTAAGTATGTAAAAAGGTATTTGAGAGACTGGGTGCAAAACCATCTAATTACAGTTTCATTTATCAGTATGAGAATAAAAGCAGAGATCCTAGAAAAAAATAATCACAAAATAGAACAAGTCAATCATTTGACACAGATTATGTTTGAAATAATAAAATGAAGAGCACTATTTGGGGCGGCAGTAGCTCAGGAGGTAGAGCGGTCGTCCAATGACCGGAAGGTTGGCGGTTCGATTCCCCCCTAATCCAAGTCTGTCCGTTGTGTCCTTGGGCAAGACACTTAACCCACCTTGCTCCCAGTGTGTGTCCTCCACTGGTGTATGATTGTGAGTGTTGTGTGGTGGTGGTGGTCGGAGAGGCCGTAGGCGCAGAATGGCAGCCATGTTTCCACCACCACCAAAGTGTGACTGTGTGAGCGAATGAATGATGTATCCAATGTAAAGCGCTTTGAGGGTCTCTGATAAAGCACTATATGAAATCTGATGCATTATTATTATTATTATTATTTTACAACCAAAGCAGATTGATTGAACAGATAGCTAACATAATGAAAAAATTAAGTGTCAGAATCTACAGCCAAATAATGCAGATAGTGCATAAGTGCCTTGGATAATTATTGGTTCAAACTCAGAGGATCTGCATTGATTACCAATGATGTGTTTCCCGTTTCCCTTGTCTCTGTGAATGAAGGTATTTTGGCAACTCATTAGAGTTTGATTATGATTCACACAACAGAGAGGGGAAGGAAAGGCCCTCTGCGTTTGGTATGGTTTTTAACTGCCATGTCTGGAAAAAGCTGTCTGCTGCAATTAATTATCATTTAACAGAAAATACCAAGTTTTGAGTTTTTTTCAATCATAAATCAATATCCCACAAAAATACATTGTGCAGGAAATATGGCCCATAAATCTTTATATTTTATGATTCAATCAGCAATTTATTTTTAGCCGTTGGTGATTGTGTATCATTTTATGTTTGATTGATCACAAATGATTTTAAGGTCTTTTTTTTTATCTCATAGGGACTTTCACTCTGTCATCCAACCCTATCAAAGCTCTGATGGGAAAGATATTTGTCATAGCCACTGTCTAAGAACAGATTAGAGCTTACCAGTGATTAAAAGGAGCTTTTTTCAGACACAACAGTCATTGCAAATCTAATTGTGTTAGGCAACATCATCTTCTGATGATGGGGAATCATTAATCCAGATGTGTGGTGTGCAGGATTTTGGTCCCTTGCACAGTGTGCTTCTTCAATTGACTTTTTATTGCACTATTTTCCATGAAGATTTGGTTGGATTGTCTCAGTGGTTTGAGCTGAAATATTCAGTACTATTCAGGCAAGACTAAGCACAGAAATCACAGATATCTCATTGTCTTAATCGGTTTTACTGTTACATTTTAAAAGTATATGATATTGCACTGAGAACATGGTTATTTTGGTATAAACTGTCAGAAAAAAAGAACCGTTTAGTTTACAATTTTACTAAATGCCAAATGGCTCCAAACACATCCCATTTAGGCTTAAACAACTCACTGGGTGGCATGTGACGTGTAGGAGGGCAGCAGGCAGTAATGATCTTTATAATGGGATGTGGACAGGAGGGGTCACAGAGAGAAGGCTGATACCCCGAGAGGGGATGAGGACCTTAGAGTCTGGATAAACAGTAAGAGAGGCCTCAAATTACCAGCATTGACCCAATTACAATGGAGAGACATAACAGCAAAGGCTAACAGGTTTTATTTTGTTGCAACCTTAACATGAAACAGGACAGTCAAATTGTCTTATAGTCCATGTAAACAGATGAAATATTCTTTCACTTACTGTTTCAGTTGTTTGCAAACACATCTTGCTGGCTGGGACTGCAGTTGCAATACAAACTGACAGAGTTTAAATTTGAATTAAACTTTTCAATCAATCAATCAATCAGTCAATCAAACTTTATTTATATAGCACCTTTCATGCTTTTAAGCTGCAACACAAAGTGCTTTACAAAGAGGTAAAAACAAACAACGTTAAAAAAGAAAAAACAAAACAAACAACAGTAAATATAGGGCACTTAAATAGGCATAAAACCCTTCCCTTCCCACCCACAGCAGCATATACGGGGAGCCCACCCCACACACACATACACGCACACACGTATCCACACACCCACACAGTAACTGTCAGTAAAAACATGGCAAGGCACTGATGATTCTGGTAAGGAAGTAATTAGTGCCTTGTGTTAGACCTTTGGTTGTTGGGTTGCATTTCACTCAATGTATAGAGGACAACACTTGACTAATGTCTCAATTAATATATAAATAAATAACCAGTTACCCCCAGCACAAACATGGCAGGCTAACTTAATCATTTTAAGTTTGCTCATTTGCAAGCAAATTCATTTGAACTGTAGTTAGTCAAAAACTAATGAGAAATTGTGCTCTGAAGACTGGTGGCATGAGGCAGTAAATGAATTTTGCCTCAATAACCAAACTTCAGCATGGAAACCTCCTGAGAAAGCACACAGAAGTTAAAAAAAAACAGTTTTTATTTTATTTTATTTTATTTTTTATTGAAGTAGCATATCAACTATGACGAAGGGCTATAGTTGATCCGGGATGGGAACCTACCTTACTTTGCAAAATCATATTAACACTACACTGATGAGGAAAACATTAATATTTATCTTTGATTAAAAGCACTTCATGATAATTTGGTTCAGTCTGTTTCAGTTTCACCAGCTTGTTTGTAACAGGGGGAAGTTGCACTATGAAAAGTGCATTGTCCCCATCAAGTTAACAGAACAAAAACAATGGCACACATTCTTTCCATATTCGTAACTAAAAAGTTTCTGTGCCTGTTATTGAATAATGTTCATTGCAATCACCTCTAATAATGAAAGTTGTAGATTAGTCATTTTAAAGGGTTTAGTTATTTTCTCAAGACATTAATGAACCACCTACATTTTTACATCTGGAAAACGTAGATGAATTATATCAAAAGAAGTGGCAGCTGCTGAAAAAGTTTTTATCACTTTTAGGGGTCAGTGTACTCCCCTTACTGCAGGTATGCATTCAGGGTATTCAGCTCACGGTGTCTTTACTTTTGTGTTGGAATAGAGAAGAGATTTTTAGAGAGTACTCAGTAAGATTAAAAAAAAATAATTCTATGGCTAGTATCAAGATATGTTGTCAAATTAAACTCAAAGCAAACAATGCTGTTTCAAATGGTGCACTCACAAAACCAACTGAGGAACTGAGGAAGACATTGAAAAAGACATCCAACCACTCAGTTTATGACAGATGTATTTGGCACCAAAAACTCATCAAGAACTAGTACTCGAAGGATGTGTGAGGCCATCAAAAGGAGGCTGAGCTCTGTAAGTCTGGCTGATCAGTCCTTAAGCAGATAACTCCTCTTCTAACATCTGTCCACTGGATGTTTAGAGGGCACAGTTCCTTCCCTCTTTATCTCCTCCCTCCTTGCCACCTCCTTCTGATTACAGCACCAGGGGTCAGGCAGAGGGTACACCAAATCACTGCTGCTGTTGTTCCAGATCTGAAGTGAAAGGCTGCCCTCTAGCAGCAAAAGAAAGAAAAGGGAATAGAAAAAAAATAAAGTTGGATTATTGAGGTTCAACTAAAAAAACTAAAATTAATCTCTCAATCTTACTCTGTAGTCCATACTATGGACTATAAAATCAGCAGATTACTGACTTAAATGTGAATTTCTTTAACTCCTAAAACATTTTTTGAAGTTGGCAGTATAAGGGCATCTTTTTATAAATATAGATACTTACTAATTATATGAAAGGGAGGAAGGGAGCTGATTGCACTTCTATTATATCATTGATTTTTGCTTGATTTTATTGAGATTGATTTCAAGCTATTAAATTTTTGTGTGTTTATTTTCCAGTCAGTTTGTTTCTCATATCTTTTTAGTCATCGAAATGTGCTGCTTCAAATTATTTGTGAAGTGCTCAACAGTTTAAATTCCCGTTTGAGAATAAAAGCTTTTATCCATCCGCCATTTCTGTTCTCACCACAATACATGATGTGATATATTGCTCAGTTAGAGACCATTAGTCGTCATACACTACTTTTCAGTATGCATTGCAGGAAACAACAAGTCCACTATATAGGGTACATGAATTTTCACTCAGAGTTCACACAGCAATACAAAATGGTGTTTCCACTATAAAGTAAGTCAGGGGTGATCTTGGACATAGCCATGGTGTCCCAGTGTTCAAGAAAACAGTTCATGAAGCCTTCATAGTTTCTTTTAAAGTACTTTTTTGTAACTGTTTGGGTGCTTATGCACCATAACAACCAGCATTTCCATGTATGTGGTACTTCTGGTGTAAAGACCTGCCAAGGAAGCTGCTATGATTGTGAATGAATTTTACCTGCTGTTGTGCAATGACCATTTCCCTCAACTCCTCCTGTGTGGCTGATTATTGGCGAGCTCTATGCCATCGCCACTCGTGGCAGCATGAGGTGGTGTCTACAGTGGGGCCATAGGAGGCCAATAACCCAGCAGCAAGACCACTATCTGCTCCATTATACAAGGAGGAACAAGGGGAGCCCTACAAAGTGACCCCCAACAGACCACTCATGTACATATTTCTGACTTAACTGTCAGGAACAGACTCCATGAATGTTGCATGAGGGCCCCAAATCCACAAGTGAAGCCTGTACTCACAGCGTGGAACCATGCAGCCTGATTGGCATTCGCCACAGAACACCAGAAGTGACAGGCTCGCCATTGATGCCTGTTCTCTTCACAGATGAGGGCAAGTTCACACAGAGCACATGTGATAGATGGGAACGAGTCAGGAGACACTTAGGAGAACATTGTGCTATCTGACACGTCCTCCAGCGTGACTGGTTTGGCAGTGGGTCAGTGATGGTCTTGGGAGGCATATCCTTGGAAGGCTGCACAGGCCTCCATGTGCAAGCCAGAGGTACCCTAACTACTGTAAGGTATGAGATCCAACACATCTTTGGGTTTTTGAAGCATATAGGAGATAACTGGCCTTTCTGCCAGAGTGAGATCCTCTACTGTGAAGAACTATCCAGTCAGTGTGGTCCTGATTTTCAAGTTCAGTACTCACCTTTCGGCTAGATGAACAAGTATTCATGGGAGCTAGAGAAGGCTCCTTTCTCTTTCTGATAGTTAAATTCCCAAACTCTTCATTTTTAGACACCAAGACACTACCTTGAGTGATCTCATCCAATCTGAGAAGAAATAAACAAGCTGGTCTATCGGAGTTGCTGTGTCTTTTACCACCACAGCAATCACAGAATGGATTTTTTCCAATCTCTCCATCATCCTGCAACACCGTTTTTAGCACTGTCTCCACAAACCCCCTCCAGCCCCCATGGAAACTTGGAGGCATGAATCCATCTGCCTCGCTCAATGAATTTCACTACCCTCAGCCCTCTTGGGGCATCATTAGCAGGGCTGTCTCTGCTGACATATCTCAACTGTAAAGTTCTGTATTTTCACAGATCAGTGACACTTTGGTGGCTGCATAGGTTTCAAACCTGGCATGGTGATTTTCTTCATACCTAGGCAAGTTTGGCTGTCTGTCCAGAAGACTGGGGGTCTCAGCTCAAGGTGTAATTCTTTCCTCAGCATCATGTCCACCTTCAATAAAAGTGAAGCTGCAAATGAAGAGCTAACTGATCCACAGTCACTCTCACTTGCATTGGCAAAGTGATGCAGTTGTGCATATGTTAGTGTTTAACAGTTCTTCAACTTCATACACAATGCAGTGTTGAAGGTCTTCCCATCCATACTGTTCATTGAGCAGATATAACTTTGGGGCAAGAGATCATCCCATCCAAAGCCTCTCTGGCAGAGCTCCTGTAACAACTGTTAAGCTGGCAGACTGAGAGGGGCAAGAAATCCAAGCGGATAAAGAATGAACATACAACTGGAAGCATACCTCTTTGGGTTGCTAAATTTGAGATGGTCACAATCCGCACACCAGTGTTGTCCCAATAACCTTTCTATCCTTGTCCAGATCCGGGGTTCTTACTTCCTTTGATGATGTATTGAGTCTTTCCAGGTGACTGACTGATGTCACTGAGAAATGTCACATAGTTTTGTTGATGTTGGTCTTTTTGCATTTTGTTTCTCAGGCTCTGGAGGTGCTGTCCTGCCACTTTGTGGTAGATTGGCATGTTAGTATTCCCTTTCCTGAAAAGTAACTTCAAATGGTGGTGTCCATCTTGTAGGACTCCCTCATCAGCTATCTGTGTAAACCTTTTGTCCTCAAGTGGCAGCCCTATCTTCCCCTCAGACGCTACCACACTGAAGACCAGGTTATACAGGCACATCCAAAGCTCCTCTAAACTTCCCACTGATAATCTGTAATACATACATGCTGCTCTGCTATCACTGCTGCTTCGAAGGACCTCTCCATGGCTATTAATAATCTCCCATGGCTCTAATAGTCTTAGAGCATCATGTGTCTATTAATAACTCCACCTTTGTGCTGATTCTGGAAAGTTTTACCATACTGAGAGATTCCCACTATGCCAGACTTTCTTGCCTGAGGATGCTGTTGGCAGTGGTTGGTATTTCCCTCTGAGTGAAGACTTCAGGTGATGATAAAAAAGTTGCCACTATCCAATGCTGAAACTACAATCTCTGATGACACAGTTTGAGTCTGATTCATTGGGTAAAGGAGAATGTCGAATGAGAAATGTCATTAGATCGCACAATTGCATTGTCATGGACTCTGCTGGAGCTGCTTGCTTCTCCTAAACTACACCCTCCTGCTCACACCTGTAACCTGTTTGCTAATCACCTGCCAGTATTTAAACCAGTCAGTCTGAGCTGTTGTTGCCAGTTTGTTGTTTGTGCTCCTGCCTGCTTTGTTCCAGTCTTTGTGTGTATCTCGCCTGCTGGTATTTTGACCTCTGCCTGTTCTCTGTTTTGGATTTTGCACTTTGACTCTATACTTCGGCCTGGTTGGATTGGATTTTGTTTTTTTGACTTTGGATTGGACTGTTACTTCCCCATGTGCATCGCCAAACTATGTCCGCTACGAGCGAGTTATTTCACCACTGATAATAAATCTGGGGCATGCATTCAGTTTACAAATTTTTGATATAGGGGCTATAATTAGGATATCTAGGTATTCCAAATAGGTGCACTGTCACCAGCAGCCACAGTATTAAGAAGTTGCATCACATTTACTCCAGTTTATTTCATGATCTGAAAAAAATGCTGAATGTGTTGATGAGCCTCATTACAGACGAAATCAACTGAACAGGACTTCTATCAGGGCTCGATAAAATGCTGTCTGCATTGATTTGAAATCATACCCTCTTGTTTCAATGCTGTCTATTCTGGAATTAGGTTAGGGAAAAGAGGTTTTGATAAATACTGTTGATTTCACTATAAGACACGATACAGTAAAAAAGGATTTTACCAAATTTAAAATCTTTTGGCCAAGGCCAGTCTATCCTGTCAAGGGCTTCCTCTGCAATATAGCTACTGCTGTAACACAACGAGAACATGGCATTTTAGACTCTTTTGAAGTTGGGTTGTTCAAATTATGAAAGAATTCAACTGCTCCTGAGCTCCATGGTTCATATTCAATGGGTATAGTTTGGAAAAAAATCCCTGTGCTACAAGTACTCTTTGGGTCTTCAATAAGTGACCCGTCAGATTTTGTGGTTGGCCAACCTCTTTGCATCTATACGGATGCCTAACAAGTTAGTTAAAGCCCTTGGCGCACTACACCTAATTTTATGCCTATTAGCATCACTCAGACTCGTTTTCACATTTGACCTCTTGTATCGGGAGGTACTTCAGTTAAATCAACAGAGGTTTTCTGCTTCATCTTTACATTTCTTTATATTAAAAAATAAAGCTAAATCTGCGCAAGTTTGGGTTGCTTTCTTCTATCTTCATCCAACATTTTAGCATGTAAAGCTTTAAATTCACCGTGTTTCTTTCGACTTCCTTTACAAATCCCTTACCAAACATTAAACTGTTCACAGTGTTTATTCTCCGTGTTAGATGACACATTTTCCTGATCTGGATGATCAGGATAATGACGCGCAGCTGCGTCTTTCTGTCTTTCATATGCGACATTTCTCCTTCGTCAGGAGTGGACTTCCCATTTTAGTCAAAAACTGTTGCAAAAACAACATTTTCTTCTTTCTCCAGAGAAAACGAAATAAATTCAAAAAAGTGCCAAACTTTCTAATTCACGTTTTTTCATCTTATTATTCTTTCCAGGCTGCGCCCCTCACTGCTGTGAAATTTTTGGTTATGCTGCAGTCAAGTTAAATTAAAGTATGCCATCTATTAAAAGAAGCAAAAGAAAGCAGCGGCGTCATCTGCTTCAAAAAGTATCAAAAGGTGTGTCCAAACTCCAAATTATTCCTTTAACACTTTGCTCTACAGGCACATACCTCCTCTAGAGTAACCCTTTGTCATTACGCCACGCGTCACGCAGCAGGGAGTCTTCTTTGACAGCTTTCAGAGTCTTGTGTGCCCTGCAATCCCTCCCAGAACCGTATTGCTTTTAACACAGCAGGCTCGTCATACAATAGGCGTCAGTTATCTTGTAAAAGATGAGTCAGAGTTGTTTCCCCTTTTATTGCAACAGTAAATAAAATAAAAAGAATATGTTTTTGCTCAGGTTTATTTGTGTTACATTAATACAAATGCGAATCATTGACATGTAATCTCGATCAGTGATGGTATGCACTGTGGCTCGTCTTCTCAAGTGCACTATTGCGCACAGACTTACAGACTCCGCACCTGTGGAAGGTACAGACAACATTATGAACATATAAAATGCAAAAAAGATTTAACAATTAAATCAAAAACAATACACTACAATGAAGCTCCTAAGGGCCTGTTTGCTAAGAACTCTTAATAAAGAAAGAGCAGGCCTTATCAGTGTCAGATTTTAGATTGTTAGCAGTTCCTATCAAACTAAAAACACAAAATGTTCTGATTTATTTCAATTTTGAGAAAATTCAGTTTTCAACACAGCTATATCATTTTGAAGCTCAGTGCATGTGTCCATAATCTGAGGGGAGGCTGCATGTTTGCAGGGGGCAGTGAAGCATTTGAATGGAAAGTTGAATGGCAGAGAAAAGTGTTAAAGGAAAAATAGAGCTGACAGCAGCCTTGAGAGGACTGTCAGGTGGTGACCTTATGAGAGCTTCAAGAGGAGAGTAGTGAGGCTGGTGTCACCATGAACAGTCATCTTATAAAGAAAAAAAAGCTGCAACTGATGATTTTCTGATATCAAGCACCCCTTAAACCACAGAGTACAGAGGTGCCCTGCCTCAGCTAAGGCAAGTGTTTGTTGAGTCCAAAAGTCCACAGCTAGGAAATTAGGAAATTTTTCGAGCACTTCATGCTTCTATCCTCTGATAAATTTTGTGAAGATGTAGATTTCCTTTTCCCCCTTAGCACCTGTCCACAGTGCTAAACATGCACCAATAGGTTTGCTGACCATAACTGTGTTTGATCGGCCAGCCAACTTGCCTGAACTAAACTCAATAGAGAGTCTATTGGATAGAGTCAATTGAAAAATACAGTCAGGCTGAAAGAAACTCAGCCTCTTTACTCGTTTGGGTGAAATCAGAAAAGTGCTAAAAAGTATGACCTACAGATCAGTTGTTATGGCACCTCTCCAACTTTTGAAAGTGGAAATGTGGATAATTGCGTGAACGGCTGGGTCAGAGCTATTATATCTTTAATAGATCACCCTATATCTACAAGGACACTAATAGATTTGATTTCTGTGGTGGCCGAGAACCGCCACTGCTGCAAATAAAAAAATGTTAAAAAGCAAAAAAAAAGGAGTCACAACGGAAGTTACCAATGCAAAAAAAAAAAAGAAACCGAAGCCCGCTGCAAATGAAAAAAAGAGGAAGCGGTACAGGTAATAATAATAAAAAAAATTACTTACTACAAAAATAAAATGATGCACAAAAAAAACAAAAAAACAAAAAACAAACAAAAAAGCCACAATTGAAGTGAGCTGTCGGGGACCAATAATGATGATGCACCAGTATTTTATGATCTAGACACAGAAGATGACAGCCAAAAGATGAGTAAAGAAGTAAGTAGAAAGGTTATTGGAGGATGCGGCTGTTGTGTTAGCTTCAGTTCAACTTCATATCCACTCAGGCGCTACATGGCCTAACCAAATGACACATTGAAAAGCACACAAAGCGAAATTAAACAATAACCTTTCCACTAACTTCTTTGCTCGTCTTCTCACGTCGTCTTCTGTGCCTAGATTGTAATACACTGGTGCATTATTACTGGTCCCTGTCAGCTAACTTCTGTTGTGGCTTTTTTTTTTTTTTTTTGCATCCTTTTATTTTCGCATTAAGAATTTTTTTTTTTAATCCCCACTTTTTTTTGCGTCGTTAACTTCCATTGTTGCTTTTTTTTTCATCAGTAACATCCATTGTGGCTTCTCTATTTTTGCATTTTTTTGGAAATTTGCAGCAGTGGCGGTTCTCAGCCACTGTAGATTTAATATTTTATACAATTTAAATGAATAAAATGCCAAATGGGAAACTGTCAATTTCATCTTTATTTAAAAGTACACATAGGCCTACTGTAATCTGGTGTTTCAGGTCACAAGGTGAAGTCCATGCTTCTGCCTCAGCATAAATCCTTGTGGATGTCTGGAGTTTGAAAACCCTCTCAAATCCTGCAACACTCACTGCAAAGTTGCATGTCTAAGAAAATTACCAGCCTTGTGATTTCAGACTGAATATGAGAGACAGAAAAGTGGTCTTCAGAATGTGTCTTCTCTCATTAATGAAAACTTTGTGTGTGCTGCTGCTCCATGGCATACAGGAGGGGCCCTTTTAATTTTGTTCAAGCATGCCCGTCAAATTGCCAGTGTACACCACTGAAAGAAGTAGCCTTCTCGGTAGCACCATTCTGTTATGCGGCAATCTACGAGTGTGTGTGAGTGCGTGCATGTGTGTGTGGTGGTGGGGGGGTGGGGTGTTGGGGGCTACTGCCGTTGAGCTAGAAGCTTGACGCGGGACGTTTCTGGTTTCGAGCACCGCGGATTTTTACTCCACCTGGCACGCGCACAATGATGAGAATGAATATGGAATGATAACGCCAAACAACGCAGGATGGGCAGGCGGTCAGATCGGATTTAACTTCCCACGGTGGCGGCACAGCTTCGATATGGTAGGAGAAAACCTGTTTCGGTATTGTACTGTAGTGTCCCCTTCGGTTAGTGTGCTGCTCCATGTTTTCCAAAAAGACGCAATGCGAGGAGTTACGCAGCTTACAGTGGAGCAGAGAAAGGCATCCATTGCTGTAAATGTCACCAAGCCTCTTTTCTCTATTTCTCTGTCTAATACTTGGTAACTGCATCCTAACATTACACTGTATTTCGCTTTGTGACGTGTGCCCTGGAGAGATAGATCACAAAATGCCATTGTAAAATCACCCAAATAAAGGATTATTTACACGCTGTGAAGTGTACATACCTTGCACAACACAACATAAGAACACTTTGTATTTGTCCAGAGCCACTCTTAAATTCGGCAAATACATGATAAGCAAAACATCATATAATGTCAATAGTTCTCCACTTTTATGACCGGTACACTCGCTTTTCCAACTGGCGTGTACCGTCGAAAACACTTTACGTTAGCAGAAGTGAACAGTGGGAAACTGTGAAAAACTAGACATTTTGCCAACATTAAGCTTTTATTGTGTACAAAGTGATCGCCGAATTTGAGGAAAAGGTACTCAAACTTGTGATAGTTTAAAGTTTCATCTTAGAAACATTTAAGTCTGACACAAACAAGTCAACTTGAAAGTGTCATAATTTTGAATGGAGTTCTGAATGATGTCGCCTCCTTGCCCGGGAACCGGACGTTTTTGCCATGAGCTGGTTCTATCCCGCAGGCAAATAGAGTGGACAAAGTGTCATAAAGCGTGTAAGGACGCATGCAGACCCGGATGATAGTCGTTCAGTTTGTGGCTTTTACAGATGAACGTGTAGCAGCAGGCCTGTCTGCCCCTTTTCCGTTCATCACTCGGGACGGCGGAAGGCCAAGTTGAAGTTCAGGCAAGCCTCCTACTGGCCTGTGTGTTTGCGCGTGCCCGTGGATGTATCAGTGTGTGTGTATGAGTGTGTGTATGAGTGTGTTTGTGTGTGTGCGTACCAGCGTGTATGTGTGTGCGTGTGTGTATTAGTCAGCAGAAAATGGCCGCAGTTAGAGCCAGCCGACTGAGTAAGAAAAAAAGCCGACAGAGGGCTTCCTGTCCCGGCATACAGCTGGTGCAAACAGCGGTGCTGGGAGAAATAAAGCTGCAGATGGCAGCTGTTGCAGCCCCGCTATTTCTCTTATCTCGCCCAGCACGTCAAATTTCCGTGTTTACATTTCAAAAGGAGACACTTAACAGCTCACTGTGGAGCAATATTCCTGCATCACTATACCCTTTAAAAACAGGGATCAAACTTGTAGTGTGAATATCTAGTCTGTGTCTGAGAGTAAGTTCACTTTAACACAGATCCTTTGGCTTAAATAATTTTTACATCATACAGTTGAATTGCAAAAAAAGCACAGGACTGTCTCCGGCTTTAACCAGGCAATTACAAACACATGTAACAACATTAGCCTTTTGTGGTGGTTGTGGCAGTGATCAATTGGCACAAGTCTTTGCTTGTGGTAAAAGAAGTTTATAGATAGACATACAAATACTTGAAAATGCTGCTGCTGACACTGCTGGATTTTATCAGTCCAAATAGCCAATTACATCCCAAGTCTATTGGGATTTTTTGAAAAGGCAACTAAATCATTCAGATAAGTATAGTGGAGTTAGTTATTATTGTTGTTTTTTTCCCTTTTTCACAGTAATCCCCTCTGAAATATAACGGACTAAAGTGAAGAAAGAGGTTTACTGAATGGATAGACTGAACTACATAAAATTATCTGGTATTTTAGAACCTGAGAACTCCACACAGTTTTCACATAAAAATATTAATATCTCTTAAAGCAAGCCCTTTACAGAACTATCAATTTAAAGAGAAAAAAAAACAATGAGCTGATTACTGTGTGGTAAAATGGCAGCTTTATGACAGAACAGTTCTTGCAATTATAGAGAGTACATCATCATTTTCTGCGTTAAGCAGATATTCAACTACTTGGATGCCATGACTCTGAGTGATCACTCCTCTGAGGTGATGAGCACATGTGATTAGGTGTGTTCAGAGACACTCTTGTCATCACATAGCAGTTATAGTGATCATAAGGATTTAGACTTATTTTTTTTTTTTGGTATGATAGGCAGATTCTCAAGTTTGGACCCAGGCAAGCAAGAAACTCAAATACCTATTGACTATTCACTATTTCTCTGGTTAGTAGAATTTTCTAGAGCTTTGTTTAAATGTATAACATCAGCCATGAGAGATACAAAGATATAATCAAGCTTCTAGAGTTACCTTATTGTTTGATTTTGTTTTCATGTGCGTATATGTGACTCACAGGTCAAAGTCTTCATTTTAGGTTACTTTGATTGTTTCTGCATCATCTTGTGATTTCTGGGGATTGATGTCACTTTTGACAACCAATAAAAGGGTAAATATGTGCAAAACAGATACATATGGGCTAATGTGCGCAGTTGTTACAGTAAAGCTGATCCTTTAATTAAATGTAGAGTGTACAGGGGTAGATTTTAGAGGGAAAGTACAGCTTCTGTGGTTGTATGGGAAGAGCTGCAGGCAGTGTCATTTCAGTTCTCTTCCCTCTCTTCACGACACAGTTCCCCATCCTATACTGCACCCCTAGCCATATTTTGCTAAGCTCGACTATACTGAACTTTCTCTGTGTTTTTCCCCCTGCAGGGTATCATACTGGGTCCTTAACTTTTCTGCTGTGTCATCATTTGAATGGTTAAGGGAGTAGAGTTATCTGCAGGAATCAGAGCTCTCTCATATCTGGATTCTTCAAAAAACACAAACCTTGAACAGCATAGGAAACACTGCGTTATTTTTAACCTCATTGCACGTATGCTTACATGAATTAGGGAGGAAGATCATGATAAATCGTGCAAAAACATATACAGTTGCAATAGAAAACTTGAAAGAGCTGTATATGCACACTCATATCCTGGTCTGATTCAGGCTGTGTCAGCAAAATGATCTTTTCTTCTCTTCCCCTGTCTCAGGCAAAACTGCACTTAGCTCTTGTTACCCAACACTTTATTACTGTTTTTGCACAAGACGAGTCACTGAAGAAATGCTGCAATACTCATGAAATGATGTTAATTTGATGGTGCAAAAAGCGTATAAAAGAATAAAAACAACAACAATCTAATCAATCAATCAATCACCATCATTAAATTGAGGGCTACGGTTGTTGTCCCTGTGTGGATCAGGTCATCATGCAGTTTTGTGGATTTAAAAAAAATCAGGGGCAAGTAACCTTTTACATGACTATCTAGTGAGCTACAAGTAGGAGAAAGATGTGTGTTGATGTTTGATGATCTCAAACCCAACTAAATTTAAATGACTATACAATTTAAAACTATATAAAATTCTTGCCCTCCGTTGCTTTTAAGCCATCTATATTGATATTTCTCTGTTTACACACAATCATGTCCTCTTGAATGCATCATAAAAAGAGAAAAAAACGGACTTAGCCATATCAGTTTTTGTTTTGGTCCCAACTCAAAGTATGAGAGTCACAGGACCAGTAAGCAGCACAGCAGTCATTCAGTAAGGATATTATTGTATCAGGCCCTTTCTGAATAAACACAAGAGATCTTTCACAACACAAAGTTCTAAAAGAAGAGTTTCCAGTGTCCCAGGTCCACTGAGGAAAAGGCTTCTACTCTTTTGATTTACTAGCTCTGAGAACTGCTTGCATAAAGCCTGTATTTGGTAGACTGTTGTGCCTGCTGCACCTGTCTGTTGTGTTGATATTGAATACCATAGTAGGCCATCAGTATTGGCTGTGGTTCCATACTCTGACTGCTAACAGTGTGTGTGTCTGTGTGAATGAGTGTGTTCTGAGACTGGACTGTTCGACCAAGACAGTAGTGACTATAAAACTTGACTTTGAGGGAGAACAGGCTGGGCGTACCGGACCTGGTTGAACAGACTAATCGACAGACCTCAAACATACTGGTTAATGAGATTAGATTTTTCTGTTGTTTCTTCATTATTACTCATCTTTTATCTTTTGCTGTGACGGCAAACTGTGCTCTCAAGAAAAGATACTCCAGCTAAAGTGGATTTAGAGACTTGGGACTGAGCAGTTGAACCACAGATACTAATGGTAGCGCTGTTTTTGTACCCTTATACTGTAAGGGGATGGCATTATGCTTAAGAGGCTTCAGTATGTCATAAGATATCCCCCTGCACCCTGGTGGACAGTCTGCCTCTGTTAGCTATAAATATATTTCTAACTGCATTATCATTACTGTGTGTCTCTATGGAAAAACATTGAAATCCTGATGATTAATGTGCCTGCAATGCTGTTGTCATCTTCTATTTGTCAGTGTACCATAACTCTACGAACAGCCGCAGTAAGACAGACTTTTGTGTATAATATAAATGAGCAGGGATCACACACAGGTGCCCTGCTCGCTCCCTCATCCCCTCCTCAAGCAGAAGAGGGGTGCTACACTTAAGCCAGCAGCTCATTTTACATATCTGCTATTATTTAAGATTCTCAGGAAACAGAGTAAATAAAGATGACAAATTTAGGGAAACTTTTATTAAACGTGTTTGTGAACAATCAGTGTAAGCTATGATGTACTAGCCTGGCTGGGCCATCCAGTTGCGTGAATCACTTGCCGTTCCTTCCCAGAACAGTCTGGACTTCGGCCTATTGGAAGCGTGTATTAGAAATCAGAAAATAACCGGGCCAATCAGTGACTGTGTTTCCACTGTTCCCCTGACAACAGTGAAATGCAGCCCCTGATTGGTCCATGTGTAGATGGGATGGTGAAGTCTAACACATGCTGCGGGACTTTTCAAAGCGCCGTTAATTCTGCAGTTGACTTTGCAAAGTCGGCAGAAATCATTTATATCCGCAGAAGAAGACGTAAAAGACATTGTTTGCTTGTACACGTTGAAATATTACCAAACCTTTACTTGATGCTTGAGAGCCCAGCAGGGAACACAGTTGCGCACTGTGATGACGTCAGATGTTTGGTTAGGGTGATTGGTTACAGTAGTCTGTCTATCAAGGAAAGTACTCCCGCCCACTTTTAGGGCTCCCAGTTGGCCGAAGTCCAGACTGTTGTGGGAAGGAACGGCAAGTGATTCACGCAACTGGATGGCCCAGCCAGGCTAATGATGTACTGGCAAACTAGCATCTTGTGCTAACTACCTTAACCAGGCTGGATAACAAGCTGCACAAATGAGCAGATTGCATGTTGCATTTATACGTAACAATCAAGAGTTTGAAAATGTATCGGACCCCCGGCTCTCCTCCCACTTCGACTAATAATTTTGTATGTATATTTCCTTATAATACAGACTCATATCAGTCACTGTTTAGCCATGCTACTGTTGCTCATCAGCTCTCCTTAATGCCTGTTAATGCTCATTAAACGTGTAACTGCACTCTCCAGGCTCCCTCTGTCCCTGTTCTAACACACACACACACCTGATCCTCTTGCTCACAGTCAGCTTTAGTAAAATTGTTTTCTGCACTCTTAGTTTTGGATCATCGTCAGATATGCTTCACCGCAAGCGGATCACATTTTGACACGAATGAAATCACTAGTGAAACTTAAACTGTGAATTGCGTTGTTTGGTTGATTTTTATAAAATATACTGTTGATAGCTTTTATCAAGAGAGAAAACACATACAGGGCAAAAACAGTAGGAGGTAGGGCAGGAGCAGTCACGGTGTTAGAGGTGCAGGCTGAGTGTGTGTTGGTATCTGGGTGTGTATTAAGAAGAGAGCTGTAGGGAATGAAGACGAGCAGATCATTGTTTGCCAACAAATATTAGCATCACTCACCAGGAGAATAAAAAGAACATAATGGTGAGCTGCTGAGTTGAGTAATGCTTAGAGTCAGAGATCTTTATTTGATGAGCAGCTTATGCAACTTTATTTACCACCATGGACAGCATACTGGCTTAAGTAGTGGGCAGTGTACCAATCTCAGTCCTATTACAATGGACCACAACATGGATTTTGCAATAGTGTCACCACTGGTTTGAATGCATAGTTTGTCTTTCACCCATGTTACGATTGATGATGTAGCTTTACTTCTCCCAACACAGATGCAGTCACGGTGTCGGGTTTAAAAAAAAAGTGATGAAAGCTGTGTCTCCTTCTTGTGTTTGAGTGAGTGTCAGTGTTAGCAATGTATAAGTGCATTTGGGCGCAGCAGTCAGGTAAGCTAGTGCTCTTTTCTCTCAAAGTTTAATGTTTCATTTCTGACAGACTTTTCACATTATAGTCCCTGGTTATTTTGTTGTTGACATACCTCCACTCTGAAACAGTGACCTCAGTAAATGGCACATTTTCAGCAGTTGCTTAACATGGCAAAATACAGAGAGGGAAGAAGCAGAAAGAAAAGTTCAAAACACAGAGATTTTACTTGAAAAGTATGCGATGACCTCTAGTTTCAGGCACAGACATAAGGGGGGATTGTAGTAAGTGGACATATGTTAACCTGGGTGATCCCTGTACATTTTGTAATACCCTGATAAAACACATTCACTGCACTAAAACTATAATTTAGTTCTGTGATGTAAATTTTAAGTCCTGTAACCCACTTATACCACACTTATGATGCCAAACTGACTAAATACTGTTATGAAACATGCACATCTGTCAAGGATTACTGACTGAACAACTGCACAGTGGATGTATTCCTGTTAACCCCTTTTAACCAACATTAACAGTCCTGTCAGACAACGTCACTTCTTAACCTCCACCTGAAGCTGTCAAGAACCTCCTGCAACTGCTCCTGCAGCCTTTGGAGGTCGTTCATTTCTCCTCTCCTGGCACTCACAGGCTCCCAAAAGACCACGTTTACTTGAGTTCAAAGCTCTTGTCCTAATATGAGTACAGCAAGTAGGCAGCAGCCGGACTCTGGAACAGAAGTTATAAATATAGTTGAAAAATGATGAATGAAAATATGAAAAAGGGGTTATATGAGAACGTACAAATGTGAGATTGGACTGGAGGGCTGCAGAGAGGTGGTTGACTGTCTTTCCAGAGTGTTTGAATGGCAGATCCAGGCTGCACCGAGATAGTTGTGGTGTTGTGTGTACAGCTGTTGCAAATGCTCTTATCTGTGAATCTTTTGCTCATTTCCTGTTGCATTTACTCTGTTAAGTATCATATACTGAATGACGTGTGGTTTAGGGTTTGTAGTCTGTGAAGAGGTATTATAGGCAATTTTTTAGTGACCAATATCTGTGGTCAAGTCTTTTTCCTTTGTAGACTCTTTAGAGGGTTTTTTCCTGTAAGATTAGGTGCGCAAGTTGCTCAGTTAAGTTTGGGCGGTTGAAAATGAATATCTAATGATCATGCCTCTTTAAAAGCTTGATTACCATCTTTGTATCATGCAGAGTATACATGATATTATTTATTAGAAAAGTGATTGACAATGCAGTTAACTATGCAGAATCAGATAGTGAACAACCAACAGATATCTGAGTGTTTTTCTCTCCTGGGTCCAGACCTGAGAATCTGCAGATAACACTGAGCGGGTTGTTTCATTTTAACAGAGGGTAAAGGGAGTTAGTTCAGATTCAGTCTGATATCAGACCAGACTCTGTCTGGCCCAAGCTTTATTAGGAGTGTGAATCTCAAAAAAAAAATAGCTAACAAATAAAGAGGTGGAGGGCAGCGGTTTGGAGAATTTGGAGGCCCCAAGCAAAGAACAACGTTAGGCCCTGACTGAATTTGCCTGTGGTGTTTGAGATGGACTTAGAATTTTCCATGTTAGCTGATGTTATGGCACAAGAGAGTCTTACCAAGGTAAGAAATGTTTGTTTACACTGTGAAGAAGAGTAGAAGATACTGTCAAAATAATGCTTGGTTAAACTGTGGTTGCTTTTATGCTCACTGTAATTTAACACAGCGCTGTGTTTTAGTGAGTCACACACTCGAGAACTTGAAAGAAGGGTTAGACTTTGTTTATCCTACCTTTAGCTGTAGTCGGTTAACTAACTTAGTTTTTATGTTTTTCTACCACGTCAAGAACCAGCAGACTGGTTTTGATAGCCACATAGACCGAGCTAGTAACAAATGAGGCTGCACTGAATTACTGTTTATTTAAAATAGTTGTTGAGCAATTTCTCATTTACTTAAGGAAACTTTGACAGAAGTATTACATGACATTATGATAAGTTCAATATCACAAAACTTCATTATGAAGAAGTTTCAAAATAAACATGGGAGTGGGTGTCTTTTCTAGTAACAGGGCGTGATCCCCCCCATGTCTTCTTCTGTGGTACCAGTCAAGTCACTGTCATCAATTGTGTGTTAGTGTGTGACCATGCTGGCGAGAATGGGTGAGTAGTGCCAGGAAGGAGAACAGGGTGCACTGGGGAGATGGTAGATGCTTTGTCCACAAGGACCCTGCAGGATCTACCATCTATCATTCAGTATTATTCAGATAGCTGTCCTACCACTGCTTAATGTCCTTGGAGGGCATTGGACAGCTACTTGTCCTCTCACTCCACCATTGTTTCCCTTTAGCTTTAAGCTGGTTCTAGACATTTTCAAGTGATGTGATTTGACAAGGCACATCTCACCAGTCAGTTTGTAGGAGTGGGAACCTGATTGGTTACAGTGGTGGGGCAGAGGAAACTACTTTGTCTTCTTCCTCATCATTGTCGTGGTTTGCTGCTCTGACTTGAGGCTGATGACCATCAACCATCAACAGGGTCATATGAGGAGCACAGGTTTGACTTGTTGACTTCTACATGGTGAAGCCTCACTGAGAGATTTGGGCATGTTTAGGCAATCATGCTGGCACTGATGCTTTGGGGATAACCCCTAAAGGGATTATGGAGAGCCAAGCTCCTCTCTTGCTGCAGTGGGGAATCTGGGTAGCCACACTGGGCATGCAATTACATGTCTGCAACATAGGTGCCTAGGGCCCACCCCTTTCTGATGTTGAAGTCCAGCTAGCTTGTTCCAGCTCTGTTATGCAAACAGCTGCCACCCAAATTGGCCGTGTAACGTTAAAACAAGGGTCTTGCTGAAGCTGGATCGTGGACTTTAAGAAAATCCCTTCCCTCCACTGCCAAAGCCAGATAGACGGAAGCTTGGATGTTGTTCCTCCCCTTATGCAATCCTGCCAACTGGAACAGTGCGAGGTATGGCTCTAACAGTGTTGTTCCATCTAAGTTCTGCAGCTTGGCCGACGTTGCTGGCTGCAGATGCCAAAGATTCTGCCAAGCTGCTGCATTAGAAAGCCAGGGGTTTTTGTTACTCCCAACCACCAGGAGGATAAGTTGCTGTGGTGTGCCAGGGCCTCAGTCTTCCTGGTTGCCAGGGGTAGATGAGCCCGCATTGCAGGTACTCCTGGCTGACGGGTGGTGGAGCAATGGTACACTAGAACCATCAGGTGATACTGGAAGGCTCTTATCACTAATTGGCTCCAGCTCCTGAATCTCTCTCTGTCTTCTTTGCTCAAGCTCAATTCCACTTCTGGCACCTAAATAGTAAACTGGTGAGTTGAATATATCTCACTGTCTGAGAGCTTCATTGAATGAGAAGTTTCTGTGCCACACACAGCAGGAGCCAGACTTAAGAGACAAAACGCCAGCCAGAGGTCCTTGTGAATAAGTGAGTTTCCCCTTTGCCAGTGATCATACTATAAGTTTTTTTTTATCTTTCTCTTTGTGAGACCAAAATTGCACCAGGCTCTGTTGAATGGATAATCAGAGTACTATCTGAGGCTCTCCCGCAGTCACAAAGATGCTGCTCTGTTATTAGAAGCAGATTTTCATTCAGAATTTATTCAAACAGATTGTTTATTGAATGTCGTTGCAGTCTCAGATAAGGAATTTGCATTCCTTTGCTTTGATATTTAATGCTAAATTGCATGATTGTCCATTGTAAATCTATGATTCATTGCAATCGCTTTTCTAGGTTTCCCCATGCCTAATAAGAAACAGTCCAAAAGTGCTCTGTGGGGTGCTTCCAAGGTGAATGAAACATTAAAACTTTTTGTTTCTGGTGCTTTTTAAAACTCCTTAGGTAGCTGCTCTCCTGAAGGATTTAACATCAAAAGTGCCCTTTGGCCCTTCCAGTGGATAAGATAAAAAGTGGTCACTGGATGTCCTTCCAGTGGATAAAATGTAAAAACCTCTGATTGTTCTTTCAGGGGTTAAATGTATGAAAGTACTGTCTAGCTGCCCTTCAAGCAGATGTAAAGTGAAGGTGCTTTCTCGATGCTCCCTCCAATGAATAGAAACTAAAAACAAGACTCATAGATCATCTGATTTTGTTGATTAGATTTAAAAATTGCCTTTCCAGATGCTTTTCCACTTGATGAAATGTAAAACTATTAAGATGCCCATCTGTTGGATAAAAATAGCCTAATAGATGCTCCTCTAGTTGATAAAATGTTTAGTAATAGCTCTTTTGATGCTTATGCAGTGGGTATGTGGGGAAAAAAAGTGTCATCTGGATCCTATTTCTGTAAAAAAAAATCTGAAAAAACTGCACTAGGAATTCCTTTTGGTATTAAAAAATGCTTTCTGCTTTGTTGCAGTTGATGAAACATGAAATAGTGCCCTCTGGTTGTTCTTCCAGTGTATAAAGTAATTTTAAAATGTACCCTTATGATGCTATTCTACTATACAGAGCATTTAAAACATACAATCTGGGAGCCTCTTACATAAAATGAGAAAAAACAGCTCTCTGAATGTTGCTCCAGTAAAATAAAGGTAAAAAGTGTCCTCTGGATGCCCTTTTAACGGATCAACACTGATTAAGTGCCCTTTTTGTAACTTAACCTCAGTGTTCATCATGTGTTTCATTGGCATGCATAATTTATGAGATTAATATCCTGACAATTATTGTTAATTTAATGTAGTCAGTCAGTCTATTCTGTCATTTGATTTACATTCAACAACCATCATTTGTTGTCACCATGGAAATCTTTGTATCACCATCGTTGATGCCGTTGTCCTCAACATGTCCAGTATTAATATTAATAAGAATAAAGGTGTTAAGAAAAAATCTGAGTCTACAACTTTCTTAATGCAGAAAAGGACTCTGCTGATGGTATGCAGCTGTATCACTCATTCCACCACTGAGGGCTACAGAGGAGAAAAGTCTGCTTAGTGACCTACAGCCCTGATGTAGGATGAGAGGTTCAGTCCTGCTTTGGACTTGACACCGAGTTGTTCAAGCCATGAGGGTTGTGTCATCTGGTGGAAATGAGGAAAAGAGTTACGTAGCTGGAAACAACAATGATATGAGAAACCCCTCAGAGCGGGTCATTGCATCGTGGTTTATACTAAGAAGAGAAGGGGACCAGACTCTGACAGTCCTGTTGTAAAAGCCATGTTGTTGGGACACTCCTCTTTTCTTGGGGTGACTCCAAGTTAGTAGTAAATGCACCAGTTCAAGATAAGGAGTTGATGTTGTGCTTCACTTCAGGGTTGTTGACTTTTGGGAAAGTTGTGTGCAGAGAGTTTGACGACATTGGGTCAAATGGACAGATGGTAGGCTGAGAGTTCAGTAGAAGTGTGGAGGCTTCGGCCCCTGAGGTTTGATGGTCCAGACGCTTTTTAACCTAAAGGGAACGATAGAAGTTTTTGCTGATAAGGGCTAAAGCCATTGGACTCTGGATTTATGCTACTTTCTCACCATGGCCTGAGCTCTGCCCAGCTGCCCTGCTCTTTGAGGATTTCAGTGAACCAAAGAGAGGCTTGACACTTGGGGGCAGAGTTTGTCTGCCAGTGAGTAAAAGAGTTTGTCTGTGGCCAAGTTTTCAGAGGTAGAGCAGAATTTTTTAGGGGGAGGCATCTTGGCAAGGTTTAGATAGCTAGGTCTGTGCGAAGAACCAAATACTTCAGCGTAATGATGCTGTAGAGGAGCTCTAAGAAACCATAGTAGGGAAACAGTGAAAGAAATAAAGAAGTGATCTGACAGGTGAAAAAGGATTACCACAAGTACCACCCAAAAAAATTAAAACTATCACGCTTTTTTGTCTGTATTTTCAATCATAGAAAAATGGTGTGTACATTTAATTTTACAAGAAAGCTGGTTAAGAGGGGAATTAGTCTGTCTGAAATCGCAAACACAGTTGTACACTCTGTTCAGGTGTCACACACACCAAGTGAGTACATTTGTTACCATGTTTGTGTTCTGAGACTTTACATCGTGATAGTCAGCGGAGAGTGTGCAGGAGTTTACTTTCATTTTTTTCAACTAAAATTTGTGCCTTTGAAGAAACATCTTTTAAAAGTAACACAACACCATGGAAGTGTAATCTTTTAAAGTTGAAAAGTAATACACAGAAACATTATATCAGTATGATACTTGAAAGTCAGGGGTCAAAGTAGTCATTATCAGAGGAGGCAGGAAGGAGAAATAGATTATATTTATATCTGGGTGGAGCAGATATCTCACAACACCTACATTAATCAGTGCAGTTGGTGTTGAATCCAGGTTCTAGTCAGATGAATGTCAGACAGTTTTACAAGTGCTCTGATTAATTCTGTTTTTTTTTTTTTTTGCAACAGATTAGCAGGTCCAAAGTCTACTTGTAACACAGGGCAGTCAGCAGGAGAGGTTTTTAGGGGTCTCAGTATCTATTGGAGAAATGCTTTTTCTTTACCCATGTAGTGTTAAACCATATGTTGTTTTTAATATTCAAACTGCCACATGCACATGTGCAATCACAGGATGTGCAATGTCATAAAGCCTGAAACATCTATAAGTCATAGGGTTCAAAACATGCAATGCTGTCACCACTTCCTCATTTCCTGATTAAGAGCTACACAAAAAGTCTGCCTGATCACTTTCTTACAGCCTTGAACAGAGAGCTGACCTCCGTGCATGCGGTCTGTTTTTTTTTTTTTTAAATCAATCTTTATTTATATAAAGTAAGTAAAACACAAGCAAAGAAGGGGACATCATGAGTAGGTATAACTTACAACTTATAATTACTGTGTGCACTTTGAGAGTGTGATTAAGCTTCTCTCTATATCTGTCTGTTTTGTAGGATGAGTTTCATCCGTTCATTGAGGCTCTGCTACCCCAGGTCCGTGCCTTTGCCTACACATGGTTTAACCTCCAAGCCAGGAAAAGGAAATACTTCAAAAAACATGAGAAAAGAATGACAAAAGAAGAAGAGAGAGCCGTTAAAGATGAACTGCTGGGGGAGAAGGCAGAGGTGGGACAAATGAAAATAGGAGAAAGACCTTTCAACTTTGATTTGTAAATATACTGTAAATTGCAGTGACTGGACTCAAAGCTATTGTAACACAAATTCAATGAATACTAAATACAAGAATAGCAATGGACACCAATTCCTTGATGATATCATTCTTTCCCTAGGTCAAACAGAAGTGGGCTAGTCGTCTTTTGGCCAAGCTAAGAAAGGACATTAGACCAGAATGCAGGGAAGACTTTGTCTTGTCAGTCACTGGGAAGAAAGCTGCATGCTGCGTCCTGTCAAATCCTGACCAGAAAGGCAAAATGAGACGCATAGACTGTCTCCGACAAGCTGATAAGGTGAACTTGATTCTGTCTGATAGGTCATAGTTTTTTCTCGCAACTTTTTTAAGTTCCACATTCACATAATTCAGATTTCCTAAGAAATGAAGTACCGTAAAGTTTGACAGGTGTTGAATTCAGGCAGTTTGCAAAAGTTTGTGAACAATTATTTTTTGTAATGGAAGTCAAGTTTGGTGTAACATGTTGGAATTTAGTATCTGTGTAAGTAATTAAAGCATGTTAACTGTTGCAGCTATGTAAAGAACATTCAATTCATAATGGCACTACAGGAAAACAGAACATGAAAGTATTTCATTTTAAAAATAATTAAAAATATTTTACTTCTGTTTATAACACAGTGTAAATACTAGTAAGTCAGTTACATCTACAGACTTTTCCATAAACATATGAAGCCATAACTGTGAAATGAATGCAAGCAGTTGTTGTATGATTTCATGGTGTGATGAGCTATTATGATTAATTTTTGTAAGTCAGTGTTCATTGTGTCTTGTCTTTCCAAGGTGTGGAGGTTGGATCTGGTGATGGTAATTCTGTTTAAAGGAATCCCGTTAGAAAGCACAGATGGAGAGCGGCTGATGAAGGGAAGCCATTGCTCCAATCCAGTCCTCTGTGTCCAGCCTCGACACATCTCTGTCTCTGTCAAAGAGCTTGACCTCTACCTCGCTTACTATGTACAGGAAAGAGGTATGAGCCACACATTTCCATGTATTTCTTTATCATCAATGTCTTTTATCATCTTCTTTTTCAGAATCAAACGACTCAATATACATGTCAATCCCAGGTCACTAAGTGTTGCCAGCACAAAAATAATGTTGTGGTAACTGTCATTAATACAGATGAAGTACGCCAGGATGCTTTGCTCTCATTTTCATTCCTTCATATCATTCCTCCTCTCTCATTATCTCTGAAATTGTCTCTTTGTTATACCTCAAAGCTGATTGTGATGTTGGGAATATCCAGGGTTCAAATTACACTGTGGCTTTTGGGGGAGCTCGATTTTCTGGTGTACATCACAACTTCCCAAGTCACATGCAAACAAGTGAGAACAGCACTTTAGTCTTTATTACAGCAGGCAGTCAGTCATTACAACAGAGGGGATTAGCTTTATGATACTGTATTAAACTTGTACTGATTTTGTAATATTAGTATTTTTATAATATAAAATCAAAAACAAAAGTTAAATAGAAGAAACTTCAGTAAAGTTCAACAATCCCAGTCTTGTGTGTTCATTGGAGAACCTTTACATGTTAACTGGCTGTCCAGCTCTGTGCAAACGTGCAGAAGATAAGATAAGATATTCCTTTATTTGTTCCACATGGGGAAATTCCAAAATTTACAACAGCGATAAATATTAAAGAGAAATTAAAGAATGAAAAAAAATTAGAGTTAAAAATATAAGAAAAGATTTATACATGAGTGTTATTTACAGCTGTGATGTACATGTTGATATAAAGGGCAGTAAGGGCAGTACATCAAATATTTCTATTATTCTGCTTTTATTGGACAATGTTGCCAGTTAGATGATGAATCAGTGAAAAAACAAATACCCAGGAGTGATATTTTGTTGTTATTGATAGCGCCAAAGTTGAACAGTTTTAAAGAACTCTGGGGGTGGTCCACCTAGACACTGGCCACACTCCATCGAATCATGATATGCACAAAAGTGCAAAGTACATCACGGCTTGCAGCTTTAATCTTTGTCTGTGATTACAAAAAAGAGGAATTTTACTTAGGATTAGAAGTTCTGTTGACAACCACAGACACCAAAATAAGTGGCTTCTTCTCAGGTGGCAAATAACACCACAAACAGCGCTGTCCATGGTGCTGACACAGTATACAGTGTATACAGTACACTGTATATTAAGTCAGTGTTATTAAGGCAAGATTGTTTATTTGAATTTCATACATTTCACTGATCACTCAGAATACCGTGTAAAAACACAGTGTAATTAACAACTGGATTGAGTCATCACCACAAATGTCAAACATGAAATCCTACTGACGTTAGGCACTGTGTGTCAGTCTTAATTTAATGTTGTACGAATGGTTCATCTGAATGCAGTTTGCTTAACCTTGGAGAAGAGTCACCAAGATGCAAAGGAGAATTGTTTCAGTGTATAGACGGGTTTCTTGTTTACAAACAATACTAGGTGCGCACGCAACCATGGGGCAAAAGCCTGTTTCGGAGTGAACTGATATCAAAAAAGATGCCGTATTGTTTGCAAGTTCTCCCTAACACAATTGCTATAAAATGTCATTTCATTGAAAAATCGCTTTGCTGAAATGTCCATGAATTTCACTCAATTTACCAGGTTGTGACGTTGTTTTAGATGTTTCTAATATCAGGAGCAGGATCGTAATGTTTGCCGATTGTTTGTTTTGCCGATTCGTGCAGTTTACAGCAGAACAGCTCCTTCTCATTTTCTTTCTCAGTTGACCCCGCTAGTAAACAAAACAGAAATGTTCCGCTCTCTGCCCCCTGGCTGCGTGTGCGTACCTGCGATGACGTTGCACAAAAAACCCGTCTATTGTGGCAGTTATTCACACCGTTGACTGAGCTATCATGTTAGTCCACACTTAGTGTACTTTTAATTGAAACTGATTTAACATTTCGTAAGTAAAGTAGGAATTTTTTGCCTCAGGTTACCTTTATTTTGTTGTGTCAGTGTCATATAATTATTATAAATATTATTTTTATGCACTATCTCTTTAGTCAAAGACATACAGAATAGCTGTTTTTAGATTGAGTACATGCAGTGTAGTTTTCTACAGTTAACTTATCATCCACCTCATCTTCTCCCCATCAGACACTATTTCTTTCTATTTCTTCATCTTAACGCTCCTGTCTGTCTGTCTGTCTGCCAGTTTGCATGCGGATATGAGGAAGGATCAGTGTGTATGAAAATCCTCCTTTACTGAGAAGTTGCTGACCTCTAACCCTTCCCTTTCATCCTTTTGTACCTGAATGCTCTGCATCTCCCTTCCTGCTCTAAGCTGTTTAAGGCGATGTGTAGTGAATGAGTGGTAATGTGAGCAAGACAGAGGGAGCACTGAATGTGAGTGAAGCAGAGCACTGACCCAGTCTGACACTCTGCCTCAATTTAATGTTGTATATAAACATTCAGGGTTGAAGACAGACCCCTCTCCAGGTAAAGGTGCCCTGGATGACTGCCTCTATCACCAGTATGTACGTCACTTTGGATAAAAGCATCTGCTAAATGACATTGTAACAGTATCTGAAGCTGGTCCTTCCCAGAGTTCTCCGACTCTGGATAAATAAGTCTCTGAAAACAGCGTGTCTTAGTGTCCATTTTATAACAAAGGCTTCTTTTGACAACTCCCCATTGTCAGAAGTATTTTTATTATTGGTTGTCGTGTTTTGATTGTTGGCTGGTGGGGCATTTATACAGAGAAATGTCTCAGTGTTATGTTCTCTTAAGTGAGACATTCATGTCACAGACCTTCAGGCTTCTGAATACTCTGTATGGCTGTGCTCTTACCAAGGATGCAATAAATCTGATACCAGCCTGTTACTGACTTCATTTGGTATCAGTAACAATGAAGCTGTTCCTTTCATTTCACTATTATTGATCTTTGTGTTAAATACATAGATAACTGAGGTCTCAAGAGCAAGTGGCTTTTGACAATAACTCACTGTGGGTGAGTCTCTCCAGAAGATTGGTAAAGAGTTGCTTGAGCTGAGTTCCTTTTTTGCTCATTTTTCTGTGGAAAACATTTGTTTAAATACTTTTAATACTGCTGTGTCTCCAAACAACCAAAGAGGTGCAATTTTTACATCTGTTTTACTTTGTAGATCCAGGAAATGCCAAAGTCAAAGGAGAGTAGGCACCTCAGAACTGAGCTCAAGGATGGCTTAAATATTTTAAGACAGCATGACCCTTTGCGTGATATTATTCTGCGAACTTTGAGCAAAAACACGTGAAAGCAAGGAGGTTTCTTAACCAAAGACTCGGTCTGAGACTAAGACTGATGTTCAAAAGAAAAAAGGCAAAAAGCAAGGAGATCAGAGAGAGGTCTGGCTTCATTGTGGTAACAGCACATCCAGTATCAGTTATTCTGACAATAAAATATTTGTTTTTGGATTCTTTTAGCCTGACGCAACGTGACGCACCCCAGTCATGCCATTGCATTTGTGCAGATTGCCTTAACAAAACAGAACTTGTCACTTATCCCTTCATTTAAAACACAGGGATGAGTAAGCAAGTTGCAGATGTAAGCAAAAACACTTGAAGATTCGAGAGTTGTTAATCTATCTGAGAGAACAATATTTAATGATTTTTGAAGTGTGTGTTCCCCTTCAACCTTTACTTCTTCTAAACCTGTCCTGAGACAAACAAACAAACACACTCACTTAAAGAGTCAGCCTGTCCCATTTGAAGTTAATCTTCTCCCCTGTTGTTGTTTTAAGTTTATAAAAAGCTCTGATGTCATTCAGAAAAAATGCTCTTTTATGAAATGCTGTGACTTATGTGGAAATAAAATCAAGCTCTGTAACTGATAAGAAAAACTCTGCCGATGAGAAACAAAAAGAAAAGAGGGAGAGCAGGCGTGTGTGTGTGTGTGCGTGTGTGTGTGCAGGCGTGTGTGTGTCTGTGTGTGTTAAGGGGGATCAAGGTTATCCCAGTAAGTAAGGCAATAAACCCTGAACAAGGGTACAATCAAAATAGTTAGAAATAACCTTTCAAAAATAGGCTTGTGCACCGTGTCGATTTGTAATGCAGTTCTCCTCACATTGTTGGTATATGCAGTTGAATGTGATTAATCACAAAGCTTGTAATTATGCAGATAAAGTTCTTCTTATTGCTTAATAGAACAGCACTTGTTTTAAGTAGAAGGATCTTGGAAACTCACCTCTGCTCTTACTCAGTACAACTCTGTAGAGTACTCAACAACCATCTCCTCTGCTAAAGGGAACTGGGGAAATAGATAAGCTTTGGCAGGTGGTGGAGGACAGATACAGGAGCCGGTGTTACCTGGAGGTTTTGTGTGGAAAAGAGGAGGGCACAGATATCCCAGGTATATCTATCTCATAGGATTATCTTGTTGGTGAAACCTTTGTTTGGGATAGTGTTTCAGAGAAAGTAGCAGGTAGGACGAAAAAATGGGAATAGATTTTACTCTGTCCTTTAAAGGACAGATAGTGGCCTCACATAATTTGGTGTCCTCAATGCTGTCTGTACTGGCTAGTATGCATGGACCCTCTGTCAGATCTGCTGCCTAGAATGCTAGCTGGCTGCATTAGATCCCACAGGGCCTGCTTTTCCTCTTGAAGGACGAGGGGGGCATGGACTTGTTCATTTGCAGAGACTGTGCAGAGATTCCTCTCTGGACCTGCTAATCTGGTCTGGAAATCTGAAGCCTGCTCCGTGGCAGGCATGGTGGGCTGGGTCTGGCAGAGTTTTTGTATGTGACGGATTTTCTCTCTGATCTTTGTGTATTTTAGGTCCATAGAGCCAACAACTTTTGATTTCTTGATGGGTCAGACTAAAATGGCTTCAGGAAAATTAGGTCAGGGAATTCTTGAGACTGTGGTGCAATTTTTTCCCCACTTTTAGTAGTGTGATGAGTTGTGTTTTGGAATTGTTTTGGGTTGAATTGGGTCTAATTTGTTTCTCTGTTTTTTTTTTTAATTGATAAAAATTAAAGTGGTTTAAAAATAAAAACCTCTCTGTCTTGTCCTTTCTGTCTCTTACTCTGTGTCTGTCCTTCTCTCTTCAGAGGCAGAGCAGAGCAGTAGTCCAAGTCGTACAGGAGTGGGCTCTGACCAGGAGGACAGCCGAACTGCCACCATGGGTAATGTAAAGACCCCTCCATTGTAGAGGACCCTTTTTCAAAAAAAATTGTTGGCTGGTAAAATATGAAGATGGGCATGGTTCACAAATGATCCTGTTTTTTGAGGTTCACATCCTTTAGATTCATCACGTGTCTTCATATGAGGTTATTTTGTTTGTTGTGATGAATGATTGTTCTTTTCACAGATAATAAAGTTGTTTTTTTTTAACATTTTGTATAAAGACGGACGGTGATCAACAACATGTCCATCATTAATCAAATACAACTGCCTTTAACTGTAACAGTTATATGACTCAGTTTGAGGCAATAATTAGATTTTTTTGCCAAATCATTTGATTGATTGATTGATCTCTTAGTGAAAACACAGTATGAGAGTGGCTATCCTTATTCGTCTGTATTATAACTTGACTGCAAAAGGTTTTGGGATTTCAGATTAAGAGTAAGGTTAGGACAGAGTGGTCAAATGAAGTATGATTCAGCTTGAGTTAACATTACGTCGGCATCATAGAAGGGATAAAATGTCATCACCATGTGCTGTGCATCATGTACAACTTAAACTGTGTATACTGATACCTCTGACATCTGGATTGGTTTATATAAACTGACTCTCTCACTTACATGACCTGATCCGTACCTTATTGCTGCTGTGTTTCTACAGATGGTCCAGAGTTCCAAGAGAGTTTCGTGACATCAGGAGTTTTCAGTGTAACTGAGCTGGTCCAGGTCTCAAGAAGTAGGTTCTCTTGAAAACAAACTTTTAGGCTTATCGAGTTTTACTGCCACCATCATTTTAAACACAAACCTGGCTGAGCTGAAGTTTGTTGTGTGATTACAAACATGGCCGTTTGAAAACTTAACATAGACAACACAAAACTTTGTGTCAGCCAGACTTCACACTACAAGACTTCAAGTTGCTTTGAAGAGAAGCAGTTCTCTCGAGTCTGAGGAAAAATTTAAATGAAAATGAAATTCACTGATGGATATTTAGGGGAAAGACATTTACCCAAGATGCCATATAGACACATTTATCCTGCCAACATAAAACAGATGACACAAAGTGTAACGTTGTGTTTGTCAGTGTAAAATGGTAGAAAATTGTCTATACATCATCAGAAATCCTTCAATAGGAAAATAATCTCCTTTTATTGGCTTCACACTACACAAAATTGGATGGCAGACAAAAATGTAACAACAAGAGCAGATTTTCTCAATCAAAGTAACTTAGACAATATGATATGATATTCTGGTTGAAATCAGAGGCAGGGATCCAGTTTTTTATGTGACAATGTGTGTGTGTTTAAAACAGTCTGTGTCCTCTTTGTGCGTAGCACCTGTAGTCACAGGAGTGGGACCAAGTTTCACTATGGGTGAACTCCAGGGTCATCTGGCATACGACCTCAACCAGTCTGTCAACCAGCCAGTAAGCCTCAGACGACCACTAGCCAGCACCTCATCTAGCGGGTAATTACGCATGACCAGAAATTGCATGTTTCTATAAATCTGCAAAAAGACCTCCGAGTAGTAAAGCAAAACTCTAATGGAGCTGGAATATTGTGTAAAACGTGAATAAAAACAGACTTCAATGATTGCAAATCCTTTTCCACACCATGGGCACTGACACACCCCCATACCATCATATACGCTGGCTTTTGAACTTTAACCTTATAAGAGTTTAAATGGTTCTTTCCTCTTCAGCCCAGAGGACACCACATCCACGATTTCCAAAAACAATTTAAAATGTGGACTTGAGCACACTATTACACTTTGCATCAGTCCATCTCAGATGAGCTCGGGTCCAGAGAAGCTGGCAGTATTTCTGGCTGTTGTAGATATTTGGCTTTGCGTAGTAGGATTTGAACTTGAACTTGTAGAGACAAATTGTGTTAACTGATGACGGTTTTCTGAAATGTTCCTGAGCCCACATCCTTTACAGAGTGATGTTGATTTTTTAATGTAGTGCCTCCTGAGGGGTCAAAGGTCACAGACATTCAGTGATTCAGTAAGAATTTCTCTGGACTCTCTGAAACTTTTGATGATATTTGGGACTGTAGATGAGGAAATCCCTTAATTTATGCAATTGTTGTTCTTAAACTGTTGGAATGTTTGCTCACACAGTTGTTGACAAAGTGGTGAACGTCTCCACATCCTTGCTTGGGAATGACTGAAACTTTCAGGGATGCTCCTTTTACACCCAATCATGACACTCACCTGTTTCCAGTGAACCTGTTCACCTGTGGAATGATCCACACAGGTGTTTTTGGAGCAGTCCTCAAGTTTCCCATTTTTTTGTTGCCCCTGTCCCAATATTTTTTTTGTAACGCTATTTTCACTTAATCTGATGCTGAATGTTACTCTGTGGATTTAGATTGAAAACCCTAAATATGAACTAAGCCATTTTTTCTGAGGTTGGCTCCATTCTTACCAGCTGTAACTCATAGGTGATATACACGTTGGTGCAATCATTTTCTTTTTCCGTTAACACTGATAAAACACATATAAATCTTTTAAATTAAAAAACTCTGAAGAACTTCAATAGAGAAGGTATCAGATGTTTTACCACAACAGCCGAGACCTGCTGCAGTCAATTTGAGACAGTGACTGAAGTCAAAAAAGATAGTATAATGGAAAGAGATGAATCAGTAATCCACTTTGTGCATGTATGTCCACAGGAGTAAGCGTCATAAGTCTGGCTCTATGGAGGAAGAGGCTGACAGTCCAGGAGGGGAGTATTATCATTCACCATCTTCACCTGCCAGCAGCTCAAGGAACTGGACTGATGACATGGAATCAGGTAACAGACTGAGACTCAGCTGTGTCCTTGTCTCCTTGTCTCCTTCTGTTGTTGCTTGTGTGTGTTTTGTTATGTAGTAGAAATGAAATAAATCTAATACCACCACTGTTCTGTGCATGTAAAATGCAGTTGTTTCTCTGCGTTTTAGGTCTTTCTCCTCCTGTAAAAAAAGCAGAGCTGGACAGTCCATCTCCCCAGGAAGACTCACCCAGAGTGGGCTCCTTCACTCAGCACCACCGCCCTGTCATAGCTGTTCACAGTGGTCAATATTGCATGATCACATTCAAGTTTCTTCTCCCTTCAGCGAAAATACAAAGTATTAAATTTCATTTACCATGTTGTGTCTCGCCATTTTCTGTCTCCATCCAGGTCTGTCTCGAAGTCCACACCCCTCCTCATCTCTTCATTTTCCGTCCTCCTCCTACTTCCCCCATGGAGCAATCCGCTATCCCCCTCATCTTGCCCAGGATCCCCTCAAAGATCTGGTCTCATTAGCCTGCGACCCAGCCAATCAAAATCCAAGCTCTGTGAGTACAGCCTTAAAAATGTCATATCTAAAAGCTGTATATGTGACACTGAACCAAGAAACCGGGGTCCAAATGCAAAGACTCAAAGACAGTTTCAAAGTCTGCTTAATCAGGCACACAGACTGGTACACAGAAAAGCAGAAGCTCAAACAGAGGTATCCAGAACATTAGGCAGAAAGGCAAAGTCACCTCACAGAAACTGGTCTGAAACACATGGGGGCACAGAAAGCAAAGTTGGACTGTCAACACTGGGACACGAAATGAAGGGGCACAGAAGGAAGGGGAGACAGGACTTAAGTACACACAGGTAGAGGAGATAATAAGACACAGATGAAGCTCATTAAGGATAATCAAAGGAGCAGGCCGCTCAAGGGCAGGAAGTCAGCTTGCCTGAAACAAGAGACAAGGGTAAGTTTCAAAATAAGACACATACACATGTTCAACCATAAGCAGTCTTCTCCCTGTCCCTGTTGTCAGAGATTTCTATCCAGTAGAATGAAGTTTGGATGTATGGTTGGTTATACATTACATTCCATTGCTATGACTGTGTTTCCTTAAGGAAAAGTGTAAAGTGTTGCAGGACTTGTGAATCAGAAGTATAGTTTTGGTCTTTGTCTGATTTTTACAGTTAAATGGCAGCAATCAGGTTAAGTTGCCCAGCCACTACATCTCCTCACAGATGTTGGCACCTCCTGGACCAGGATCTTCCCTGGCTCCTCCTTCATCCTCCCTCACAAGGCCAACACTGCCTGCAGAGTCAAAGGCCTCCACCACCTCCTCCGATGGGGGAACAAATTCCCCCACATCACCAAGTATGTGATTGAGAGAAAACAAGCTTCTACTGACAGTTTTAATGTGTAAATACGCTGCGGATAACATAATAGTTCAGTGGGTGTGTCTGTCTCAAAATTTCCCTGCTCATAGGCTTTTATCCCAGATACAGCAAATATTGAGATGGACATGCTGAATAAGAGTAAGACAGAGATATTAAACACAACAACAGCAACTGTGAGGGTATTGTGAACCTGCTAACATACAGTCATGTCAAATTTTGTTCACCTGGGGCTTTATTTTCTCAAATTAACCTGCCTCTTGTGGGTGTATTGTAGCCCAAAATTTAAAACCTTAAAGTGGGACGGTAAAGATAAAATGCAAAATGAAGTAATTTCCCACTGAAGATCACACACTAGATATTGAGCAGAGAAGATAAAAGAACTATTCTTCTGCATTTTAAATTGTTAGATATCTTGTTTTAAGGGAAAAATCACATAAATACTGTTTAATACAACTTGCAAGGGATTTGGTCAAAGACATGTGACTGATGTTTTTAACTTTGACACCCACAGCATACTCCGCCCCCGGGACCCCCCCTGCCAACCGCACCTCCTTTGTTGGAGTCACTCCTCGAGACCCAGGTGGACTCTACCAGGCCCAGGTTAGTAGGTTTAGTAATGTAACACTGTTTAACTCAGTGCAGGGAGAACTCACTGATCCTAAGGGAGAGGGGTCGACAGTGATCATCTGTTCTTACTTTGTCAAAGAACATGAAGACAAGTGGTTAGTACGGAAAAATAACTTTTGAATGATTTTCATTTTTATTGTTTTTTTTTTTCCAATTTTCATTCGAACTTGGTTGGTCAGATTTTCAAGGGTGCAGCAAGTGATTATATCCAGGAAAACTGCTCTCATGGAGGGTTTATTATACAGCCCCAGTTCTGAAAAAGGTGAGATGTGTAAAATCTTGTTAAAAACAGATTTTGATGCTTTGTAAATCATGTTAGTATTTAAAACAGATCAAAGTCAATGTATCAAATGTTAAAACTAAAAGTTTTTTTAAATAAAAAAAAAATATTTAAACTTGATGCCAGCAAGACATCTCTGAAGGGTTGGGACAGGGACATTATCGTGCGTCGGCATTTCTTTTTAAAACACTGTTTATATTTGGGAATCAAGGAGACCAGATCCTGGAGTTCGGAAAGAGAAATATTGTCCCATTCTTGTCTGATTTGATATTTCAGCCTCTCAGCAGTTTGTCTAATTTTTAGGTTTATGATGCGCCAAATGTTTTCAATGGGTGACAAGTCTGGACTGCAGACAGGCCAGTTCAGCACTTGCCAAAAATAGTTTGGCACTGTCTTGTTAAAATATGCAGGGCCCTCTCTGGAAAAGGAGTTTTCTGGAAAGCAGCGAAGCATACGCTGATCTAAAACTACAATAATGTTGTTCAGCATTAGGCGCCAGCATCTGTGATGGTTTATAGATACCATCACAGATGCTGGCTTGAACTATGTGCTGATCATTAGTTTTGTTTTTAATGAGTGTACAGTGTCCAATGAGAATGCCATATTTTGATTTGACAGACCACAGGAGGAGAGTTTTCCCTTTTAACTCACATCATGTTCATTTATAGTTTCCTCTTACAGTGTTAACCTGCATTTGTGGATGCAGCAACAAGCTAAACTCACAGACAATGGAGTTTGGAAGTAATTTTGAGCCCATGCAGTGATTTCCACTAGAGAGTGATGTTTGTGTTGAAGGCGGTGTTGCCTGAAATCCACAGCCATTCAGGACTGGTCTCAGTCTTGTCCCCTATGGATTGAGGTTTCTTAACATTCTCTAAATCTCTTTGTTATTGTGATATAATTGTCCAAATCCTCCAGATATTGTAGACGTTGCAGTTTATACATAATTCTGAAATGATTAGTTTGCTCACACAGTCCCTCACAGAGAGATGAATCTCTTCCCACCGTTTTATACTCTGTCATTTTCTGTCCTATTGCAAATTAAGCTAACTAGTTAAGAGTCGCTCTTCTGTCTGAACTTTTTTGAAATAAGCAGCTTTCATTGAATTTTGAATGGGCATATGTTTTTCAGGAAATAACATTTTTCAAAAGCAACATTTGGTATGTCGTCTTATATTGGGTTAAAATGATGAGCAAACAATCAAAATCTGTTCTTGTCAACATTTTACAGAGTCCCAACTTTTTTTCCTGGAATCTGGTTTGTAGTTTTTAACTTCCTGATCCATTTAGAAAGCATTTTAGACATGAGTGAATTCATTTATCCCAAGTGCTTATCAAAAACTTTTGCTTATGAGGTTTTGAATTTCTTGTTTTACTCCTTTTAAATCCCATTTTGTGTGTGTCTCTGTTCTAGTCTTGGTATCTCGGCAACTGAGTGAACCCTGATGATTGTCGTGGCTGTGCTGTCCTGGAGAAACGGAAACAAGACATTGCCAGAGGATTATCATATTAAGCTTTAAAGAAGCATACCGTGGTCATACATACATATAAATATTAAGTCTATAAACATATTTATAAGTGTGTATACACCATGAAGATCAGCCATATTGCAGTCACAGAATGAGCTGCGCAAAGTGACGCTACATGGTCCTCAAGAGTGGCAACTGATGTGAGTTGTAATTTCCAAGTCACAGTAAGAGAGTGATGCAGAAGTCTGTTTTCTTCAGATGAACAGCAAACCAGAGCCAGGCCTCAACACACCAGATCTTATGGAGCCTTTAACCTGACTGTGTGCCAAGGAAGGGGTCTGTTGGATTTGGATGGACGTCCCTCGAATGGATGTCAGCCTTTGTTCTTATACCCTAGGTCTGCACACTATATCTGGTTTAAGGCCTCTTTCCTTGAACAGACATAGACCTCATCCCCCCCTTAACACCCAGAATGCCCCTTACCGCTGCAGGTGCTGCTTCAAATATATGCAAATAAGCCTACCTTTTTTCCGAACTGATTAGAAAGAGATAATGTCTTGTGATTATGTAATATTTCTTTGCACTTTTCAATATGTTATTGCCATATTTGAAGAAAACTAGCAGTTAAAAAAACACTCTTTTATTGATCTTCCCACTTGGAGACAGAGGCTTTGTCTTTTTATTGACAATCATCAGCCTAAAAACATTCTTTTTTGCTTTACAAGACTCATGTTTGAAGACTGTTTGATTGTGCTCTTTTATCAGAAAACTGTGGAATTTAAGAGCTATATTCAGGTCTCCTCCAACACGAGAGACAAGACTTCAGTTTGACATCAGTTACAGTAGGTCCATCGAGAATGGAGGGGCGGTACTCATTGGTTTAAATGAATACTAATGTGCTTCTTCCTTTACTTTAGACACAAATCTGTTTGTAATGCAGTTCTTATCAACGCCGCTACTGTCGAAATGTTTGGAGGAGACACAGGACACCTCAGTCGATCTGAGGAAAGGCAAAGATACATGCGAACATGAAATGTGTGGCAGAGCAGCCAACAGTAAAGTGGCTGTTGGACTGTGTGTTTCTACCTGTAGCATGGAGGTGTGTGTGTGTGTGTGTGTGTGCGTGTGTGTGCACGCGCGTGTGTGTGTATGTCAGAATGAAATGATAATTGATGCGCTTGTGCACCCCCCTCTACTCTTGTTTGTTTTTTGAAAACAGTGGTGGGAATGAGACGTAAAGCAGGCATTGCACTAAACTTAAGATGCGATAAGCAAGTTGCAGTGATGCAGCATGTTTTGTAGCTGGTGGTCTGTGTTGTAAATTCAGATTTTGTCGGTTTCAGAAAGTAGTTGATGATGTGTGCACTGATGCGGGTGCTTTTTATGAGTCTGAATCGTCATCGACAAGGGGCAAGGTTCTGCACTCTGCACACCCACCTTGACAATCTGTAAGAGTGGGTTTAGGTTGAAGTTAAGGCAGCTGGAGACGGATAAATAGACCGATTAACCACAGTGCCAAGGTTGTTTTCCAGACAACTTTGATGGTCAACCACTGACAAGCAAGAAATCAAGCATTGAAAATTGATTTGAAGGCCATAGCTTGCATTTTGGGCCCATCCACAATATTTTCTTTGTAACAGTGCTTCTACAAGCCAAAGCAAGAGTCCCAATTTCTTGCTTCTTGCAGGTCAATTTAGTCAGTAGTGTTTTAAAAAGCATGTAATAGTTTAAAATCTTACATTCTGCACTTTAACTTGATGATTCTGAACATTAAACGTGTTAAGTATTCAGAGAAGTCCAAATGTTTCTTAACTGCAGTAGTGGTCAATTCCCAGAACCACATGCTTATAGGTAATCAAAGTCAGAGGAAACGTAATAGGCGTTAAGTAGATCTCAGTTCAACAGACACTAAAAGCTCAATCTGTAAATGTACAGCTGTCAAGAGTCTGTACTTAAGAGTATGAACTTCTGAGTCAAGTTTAAAAACATATCACCAGAGATGCTTGTGCATATAGCAAACTCCCCCTGACCTTTTAATAATTTCTGAGACATCCTGTATGAACATGGATTAACTAGGAATACATTTCCACTGACTTATTTTTCAATAGGTACATTTATAATCCTCAATGTTTTGCAAATATATAGCAGTCCATTGAAATCTGTTGCCTTTCGATGTGGATTTGTGTTGAAGAGAGATCAGAGTAAACGACAAGGAAATTTAGCCTCCAATTGTTGACATACTAAATTCTATCCCTGGAGTTTTGCTGTGGCTTGCCGACATTATTTCATGATTTAGTTGTGTGCAAAAACTCCAGGCTTAAAAAAAAAACTTTTGTCTCTTTGGGTCACAAATCTGACTTTTGATATGAAAGTAATCACCTGATCTCACATGGGCCTTCTATCAAATACTGAAGTTTGAATAGAACAAAACAGTTCAAAGCTCTGCAAACCAATGTGAAGCCCATGAAGGGGGGTGGAGCTGTGTTGCATTGGCTCAAGAAAATACTGGCCAATGAACATACCAAATGACCATAAACAGTATCACCTACAGCAACAAGTGTGCGTGCGTGAGTGAGTGAGTGTGTGTGAAGGAGATGCTGAGACTTTTTGTAAGACAGCTTGAGATGTAGAATTTGGAAAGAGCTCCAGTTTAGTGAGAATATTTTCCTACAGTTTGTGTTTCCCTTTTTATTTGTGTCTTTGAATTTTTGTTTCTAGTCAAACGGCGATAGATTAAGTTACATAAGTTTTTGTGTATGTTTTTAGGCTGCACAAAAGCATCTCCTTGTAGAACAAGTAAACTCTTTCTATGTAAACAGTCTGCTGTCCAGGTGCATCTTAAAGGGGTGTTGGGTCTGGGCACAGGTGTAGGTGTGTGTTCTTCTTTTATTTCCAAGGCTTAGGGGTTCGATTAAGCAGCAGTCTGACAGATTTTGTACAGAAGGTGCTGATATGAGCTTACTTTTCTGTAGAGTGAGGTTTAAAATTTTGTTTGAGTTGGCTTAAGTTGGCTTAAGCTGAAGCTTACTGCATGGTGCTGCCCTGGTCGCTGTGCTGACCAAATGAATGCATGGCTCAAACTGATGATACCTCTTCCTGTCTATCTTGCTCTTCCTCCTCCTTGCCTTCCTCCCTCTGTGCTCTGTACTGAATCAGAGGGCAGTCAACGGAAGGACTTTGTATTTCTTTACATTTTAATAATAGCCCTGTTGTTAAACTTCTATTTTGCACGATATTACATAAAACACATTATGTGCCTTGCCAATACAATATGGTAAAGTGATCATATTTTTTACGGTACAGCTGGAAGCTTCGAATATAAAAAGGCAAAACATAAAAAAAAAACCTGCATGATTGATTGCTTGGCATTAACCAGTGTAACAGGTACATAGTTTAGGTTAAACAGTGCAGTGTATGAACTACCAGCTGGGATACTGGCTTGAATGCCAACTTTTTGGAAGCTTTTATTAGTTTCAGCGGCACATTTCCATCCAAGTCAAAGTAGAACAAATTTTCACAGCAGGAAAGTAACACCGAGAATTTGGTTAATGCTATTTGCTTTATTTACCATCGTTCACTGTAGCTTTTAACCCCCATCTGATAAGCCGCCTCTTGACTCAGCAGAGGTGTCATTAGTACAGGAGCGTTGGTCATTAGTGATAAAATATAAAGTAGGTCCAAATTTATCCTGGTTCAATAATCAAGGACTAGATATACAAACACTTGTTGACAGATACCAAAGTTGTTTTGTTGAATGAGTAATGGCTGAATATTCACAGAAACAGCTGAACGAATGTGAAAAGACTCAAGAAAAGCTAGTCAGTAAACAGTGAGAACTATAATGCAAAAGTCATGGAGACAGTGTGTATTTCTATTTTATTCTGACCAGAAAAGACCTTTACTGCAAAACACAAATGTAATCCTTTTAAAGTAGGCATTTTAAACGGCAATATTTACTACAATCAGGTGTTGATTGCACTCACAGAGCTAATCCGGTCCCAACGCTCTGCATTTTAAGCTCTAGTGTTGGCTTTAAAGTATGTTATTAACAATAACAGTGTTGCAGACCATGTCAACAAGATGTGCCCTGTCCCAAAATGTGGACACTGTTGTGTTGTAAATCATACCGTAGTTTCATACCGTAATTTCAGGTATGGTTAAAGTGTAGCTAGCTACTTTGGTTTTAAAAGTCACAAGTGTTCCCTGGGTAAGTGTCCAGTTTCTGCTTTCATACTAAGTATTGCATACTTGTAAACAGTGTATTAGAGTATTTATTGCAGGAAAGTTTGTTTAACTTTGTTGTGAATGATTTGTCCAGCATTTAGCCAGACAGAGCACCCTAATGCCATGTAATAGAAATGTGCAGGTTTAAGATTTGTAAGGCTTGGCAGCTCTATGATCAGCTCTTTTAATACCGTCCACTAGGAGTTACAAAAGGCCATAGTTTAAGTTTATATAGACGCATGCTCTCGCTACTATTCCTACTCAACTTGGCTCTGATGCTTATGAATTTTTTTTCTTGAGTTGATATGATCATTATCATGTTGCTTGTTGAGATATAGTTTTAAACACAGCAGTGTGTATAAAAACGTGTACTACATAAACTTATAAAGTTTAAAAAGAATGTAGAGAGTCCAGATGTTTGCTGTGTTTGTGAGTTTCATGCCTTTTTAAGAAGATGGGCAAGAAAGAGTAAGTTACCCATAAAATGGGCTTGTTTCAAAGTTATGTGAGTTGTGATGACTGATAACTGGTGCAATTGTAGTAGGAGAGATACGATGTTGGAAGTCTGGTTGAGTTTGAGTGACCACTAATGCACTCAAAGACTACAAAGCTCTACCAAGGCTACACAGTCCTTTAAACAAGAATATTTAAAGCAGCAATATTTTCCCTTTGAAATCCTGTGTTTGGAAAATGAAAGCATTGAAGTGTTTACACGTAGGTTTATTTGTAGGCATAAACCATG